ATGCTGAACGAAAGAAGCCAATCTCAAAAGGCTATATATCATCTGACTCCATTTACTAGTATGTAACATTCTAGAACAAAACCATAAGGACAAAGAAGAGATCAATGGCTGACTGGGTTCTGGGATGCAGAGAGGGGAAACTATAAAGGAACAGCATGCGGAGGCTTCTTGTGATGATGGTACCATATGTATCCTGATTGTGGTAGTTACTACATGAATCTGTGCAAAAACTCACTGAACTGTACATTTAAAAAGTCAAGTTGCTGTTGCTGTTAATCCTCAGCCAAGTATATTTTTTCTATTGATTTTTTAGAGAGAATGGAAGGGAGGAGGAGTAACATCGATGTGAGAGAGACACATCATTGGTTGCCTGAAACTGGTCAGGTATGTGCTCCTGACCAGAATCGAACCCAGGATCCTTCAGTCCACAGGCTAAGCCATCCAGTGAGCCAAACCAGCCAGGGCTTAAAAAGTCTGTTTTAATATAGGTTAATTTAAAAACTAGAGTAAACCCTGCCCAGGTGGCTCAGTTGGTTGGAGCACTGCCCTCTACACCAGAAGGTTGTAGGTTTGATCCCCAGTCAGGGTGCAACGGGAGGCAGCCAATCGATGTTTCTCTCTCTCCTCTCTCTCTCTCTCTCTCTCTCTCTCTCTCTCTCTTTCTCTCTCTCTGTCTCTCCCTCCCTTCCTCTGTCTCTAAAATCAATAGGGTGAGGATTAAAACCTAGAGTAAACCCTGCCCAGGTTTAATAATAATAAGTTACAAAAATATTTTAAAATGTAATGACAATATTATAAATAAAAGCAACTTTTTATTAAGTTCAACTGTTAACTATTAAAGCAGTAATTTAAAAAAACCAACAATGGATATTCTCTCTATATTCTCCACAAAAGAGAATACTTGTTACTTGGAAAATTATATTTTCTAATACAAATACATTGAATTTTGTTTTAATAGTTAATGCTACGTGAAAGCCATTCTAGGCAGTTTATAACCTCTCCTCAAATAATTTAAGCTGTGACTCGAATTGTTCGACAGTAGCGCAGATGTTGGCAAACTATAGCCCAGGGGCCAAATCCAACCTACTGTCTGTTTTTGTAAATAAGTTTTATTGGAACACTAGAAACCTAGTGCACAAAATTCGTGCACGGGGGAGAAAGTGTCCCTCAGCCTGGCCTGCACTCTCTCACAATCCGGGACCCCTTGGGTAGGGTCCCTATGCCTGGCTGGCGATCAGGGCCTATCGGGGCTTTCCTTCTCCTGACTGCCAGCAGCTGGCCCTGCCCCCACCGATGCCACTGCATGCCATCTGTCTGGCACCATCCCCCTCCCCCACCACCGGTCACCTCCCTCTGCAGGCGACAGGTGTGGGGTGCGACTGCTTGGCTGGCCTGGGCCTCCCTCTGTGAGATCGATCAAGGGGCCCCCAGATCAATCGCTGCACAGAGGGTGGCCTGGGCCTCCCTCTTTGGGGCAACTGCAGAGCCCCCCTATCCTCACCCCCAATCGATCGCCCCACCAGCTGGTGGCCTGGGCCTCCCTCGCAGGGCAATTGTGGAGCAATGGCAGGGCCCCCTGACCAATCACATTGCACCCGCCTTGGCTGGCCTGGCACCAGTGCATGTCATAGCGTGGTCATCCAGAAGGTCGTCTGGAACGTCGTTCTGCTGTTTGGTTATTCGGTCGATTTGCATATTACACTTTTATTATTATAGAAGATACAAGTACCCAATTGTTTTCACATTGCCTGTGGTTCCTTTCACACTCAAAAGCAGGGTTGAATAGTTGCAATAGAGACTATGGCCCACAAAGCTTTCAATATTTAACACATTAAGCACCCAGCCTGTTTTGTCTTCTGGACGGAAAGTATAGCGTAGGTCACCGGTGACTGAAATGGGGCTTAACGTGTTAATATCTAGCCCTTCACAGAGTGTGTTACCCCTGCTCACTATAGAGAAAGGTAAAGGCCACGGCTAGCCTGGCAGAGAACCAGAAGCCCAAATACCTTATTTGAGAGTGATTCCTTCACATGCACTTCCTCTTTGTTTACTAATGGACTGGACTCTTGTTCAAGTGGACCAACTTTTGATCTAGCCAAACTTAAGAATTCACTAATGGAATCTTCTTTCTTTTCTTGTTTAGATGTATCCCATCTGGATGTTTTTTTTGATTCTGAAAAGTAGGACATAGACATAACATCAGAATTAGCAAGCAGAAGACGAGTTTTTCATTACAGCTCATTCAAGCACATCAGTGACCCTACTATAGGCCGGGCACTGTGCAAAGTGTTGGGCATGTGGCAGATGCTGAGGCAGAGTACCACCCCCAAACAGGACACATCTGGACCATTACAACATGAGCTAAGGTATCCATATGAGCAATTATGTTTATGGGAGGAGAGTTTGCACTCTGTGTATCCTTAGGATTAGATGACCCTTGATTTCTGTCTTCCCAACAGACCATGGTCAGCAACTGGACCTGAGGAAGCCCTACTCACTGTCGGGACCTCGGTGCTGCGGTACTTTTTCACTTGAGGCTTGAGTTGTAGGCAAGGAAGCTGTCTCTGGGAGTGTCAGAAAGTTGAAGACTGAGTATTTGTCACGTTTCACTCTTGGTAAGCCAACTAAAGTTGAACTGGGGGTTGAAAAGAAAAAGTATGAATGTAATTTTAATAACAACTGTGACAATAAAATCTAATTCCTATAAAGCTTACCATCTCATGTGTTTCACCTGTAGCTCTTCTACTTGACTATAAAGGTCCCCCTAAGATGTTTTCACTTGCCAAAGCAATTTAAGAATTTATAATGGGTGACTTTAGTAACCATTAGTTTTTTCCTGATTATAATAAGAGCTAGAATTTAACTTTGAAGATGGATTTCCATTAAGGAAAAGTTCCACTGCTAAAAATATAGCACAGGTTTGAGCTGTGCAGGTCACTTATATGCAGATTATTTTCAATAGATACCATAAATGTATCTTCCTTATGATTCCTTAACACTTTATTTTCTCTAACTTACTTTATTATAAGAATACTAGAGGCCCAGTGCACAAATTCATGCATGGGGGGAAGGGGAGGTCCCTCCTGGACTATTGGGGCCGTCTTGCCCAGTCCCAATCGGGGCCAATCAAGGCCAGCCAGGGACCGCTGAGGTTGGCCAGGTGCAGGAAGTTGGCTGTGGGAGCACACTGACCACCAGGGGACAGCTCCTGCGTTAAGCGTCTGCCCCCTGGTGGTCAGTGCGTGTCATAGCTACTGGCCGGTCGTCCAGTCATAATGGTCACTTAGGCTTCTATATATATAGATAATATGTAATACATATACCATACCAAGGCAGCCAGGGACCGCTGAGGTTGGCCAGGTGCAGGAAGTTGGCTGTGGGAGCACACTGACCACCAGGGGACAGCTCCTGCGTTAAGCGTCTGCCCCCTGGTGGTCAGTGCGTGTCATAGCTACTGGCCGGTCGTCCAGTCATAATGGTCACTTAGGCTTCTATATATATAGATAATATGTAATACATATACCATACAAAATAGTATGTTGACTGCTTATGTTACCTGTAAGGCTTCTGGTCAACAGTACTGATAGTAGGTAAGTTTTGGGGGAGTTATACGTGAGCCCAGCTGGTGTTACTCAGTGGTTAAACATCAGCCCTTGAACCAAGAGGGAATGGTTCGATTCCCAGTCAGGGCACATGCTCAGGTTGCAGGCTTGATCCCCAGTAGGGGGCATGTAGGAGGCAACCAATAGATGTTTCTTTCTCATTGATGTTTCTGTCTCTCTATCCCTCTCCCTTCCTCTAAAATGAAAATAAAATAAAATAAACCTTTGGAATGAGAATTCATTGGATCTTTTAAAAAAAAGTTATAGCCCTAACCAGTTTTGCTCAGTGGATAGAGCGTTGGCCTGTGGACCAAAGTGTCCTGGATTCAATTCTGGTCAAGGGCACATATCTCAGTTGCAGGCTCCTCCCAGCCCAGGCCCTGG